AGGTAATGAGCTCATTACCCACGTCAGGCAAGGCCACTGCTGGGTAGAGTTGGCCTCCTGTGGAGCCACCTGCCCTGGGATGAGTCCCAGAGATCTGGCTAGCGAATGCCACAGGAGGCCAGGGCACAGCGCCAGGGCCCAATGGGCAGGGCAGGGGTATTCAGGGGCAAGGTGTGCCTGAGTCCCCAAAGGAAGCCCCAGAGCCTGCAGTAAGACCTGGAGCAAGTCATTCTCCTCTCTCAGCTCTCATAAAAAAGGTCACCTCAGGGCTCTGGGAGACAAGATCTCTTAGAGTAGACTAAGCTGACCACTGCCATGGTCATACACATCCTCCCAGCCAGCCGCTGGTCCTGACAGATGAGGAAACTGAGGCTAGGCATTTCATGAGGCCTCTGAACCCAGAACCCAGTACCCAGTGTCCTGAGCAAAGTTCAAGCCGGACCTGCCAGCTTATGTCTACAGAGGCCCCACTATGCAGCCGCACTCCAGGGACCTGAAAGGACCATTACCTTCCCTTCTACCAGCCCCAGCACAGCGGTTCTGCCCCAGACAGGCCAATTCCCTCCTCCTCCAAAGGCCCAGCAGCTGCTGCCAGAGCAAGCAGCACAGTCACAGCAAATGACGGACAGGTGTCCTGTTCTCTGTGGTCTGAGCAGAGGGCCAGGGGCCATGACCAGACCCTTGGCCCACATGGCCCCTCCAGGACCAGTTCCAAGATGAGCCTTCCTGTCCCAACCAGCATGGCCGGGCGCTCAGGGTGGATCAGACAACCTGCTGGATGCTCCTGTTCCCTGCTCCTCCTGGATCTCCCGCCACCTTTAGGAGGTAGCTCCGAGACCCTGCCACTTCCCTAGCTTACCTCTCAAGCCCCTGCCGGGTGTGCCCCTTCCCACACAGACCCCAGAGCCAGCTTCAAGGACTCTGCCTGCATCTCTGCTTTCACTCTGATCATACCCTCTGCCTCCACCCCCACCCTGCTGGGTCCCTGCAGCAGCCCTTGGAGGCCCCCAGAGCCCCCTCCCACACGCAGAGCTGGCCTGGCCCTGCCGCCTGAGCGCTCTGCTGGCTCCCAGCTACCCTTGGGCTCTGGGACATAAAACCTCCAGCCGAGGTGGCTGCCAGGGTTTATTTAACAGCCATAGAGCACAAAAGTGATGACAATTAAGTCACATGGAGAGACAGCCCCATGGGGACCTGTAGTCAAGTTAGGCAGAGCCCTGAAGTTTCCTCTGACCCCCCGCTGTGAATGCATTACTGAGGGGCAAGGTAGCTAGTCGCTCACCCAGCCTGCACGCCTGAATGCACAGAGCTACAGCCTGGGCCCAGGGACAGCCCTAGGAGCTGGTGGTTTCCCACAGGCACAGCCAGCCTTCCCGCCCCCACCGTGCCTGGCCCCGGGCCCAAAGCACACTGAGGGGGACAGGAGGGGAAGGAGCAGGCCCTGCACAGGAGTCGTAGTCAGCTCCTCTGTGCTGGGGCAGCTGGGGCTGGCTGGATTTGAGGAGCTTCCCAGAGGAACTGGAGAGCAGACCTGTGTACAGGCCCCACTCTGCCATACTCCCTGAGGGACAGCCCCCAAGTCATCTCCTCTCTGCCAGTCCCCAGTGTCCACCCCAGCCCCACCACTGCTGAAGCTCAGTCCAGGGTCCCCAATGCCTACTTCACGGCCATCACTGCACTTGAGCTGAGGGACTCAGGTTCATGCCGACACACCTGCTTGCCCACCCCTCACCAACACCTCTGCCGTCCTCCTCAGGGCTCAGTAGGGTCCCTGGGACCCCGCTCCCATTCTGCCCTTGCTCCCACCAACCCATCTTCTCCATGCCCATGACTTTGGGACCCTCTGCCACAAGAGCCAGCCCCCACATCTGTAGCCCCTGCAGGAACAAGCCCTAATCTGGACTCATTGCAAAGGCTCAGCTTATCTTCCAGCCTGTCCATAAACCTCCAGGCAGAGATCACAAAAGTAGCAGCTCTTTCTGCCAAATCTGGACTCTCTCCTGCACCTTCTCCACTGCCCAGGCCTCCCTGTCACCCCTCCTGGGGACCTCAGAGGTATTTTCATTTCACAGGTGAAGACTTGGCTCAGAAAGGGCAAAGCCCCTGGGTCACACAGCCCGTCTCCAGCAGGGCTGGGGAAGGAATCCAGGGCTCTTTTGTTGGCAGTGTTTTAATGACTGGGGAGATGGGAAGCATGGCTAATGAGGCTCTAGGGATCAGCAGAGCCAGCTGCTGGAGGGTCCAGGGGACAGGTGACTCAGCAGAAATGGGGGAGTCTGAGAGGTTGACAGAGTGCTGAACTCTCACCTCCTCCTGCACCTTCCAGAGAGGCGGGCTGCAGGCAGTGATTGCGTGAATGAACAATGACTAGAGGGACCCAGGCTTCTCCTCAACAGCTGCTTGAGGACAGCATTAGTGGTCCCCTCAAATCCCCACCCACGCATGCACACGTGCACTGACCTGCAGCCCCTGGGGACACAGCTTTCAGGGGCTGTCTTGCCATGTCCCATTCCAGACCAGCCTGGATTCATGCCAGGCCCCCCTCCAAAATTTGCTGGGGGAGGCCCCAGGGTCCAGGGCACTCAGAGCGCTAATTGGCCCCTGGGGTACAGGGAGAACCACACGCTGTGTGTGGGATACTACCCTCTGCCCATACCTAGGACCCTGCGACGGCCACAGGCAGCACTGCTCATACAAAGGCACTGGGGTGCAGCGGTGAGCGCTCCACAAAGGGTGGAAGGGCTGCAGGGGCAGGCATGCCAGCAGGGATACCATGAGGGCCTCAGATGCCAGGCTGCAGAGATGGATGGGCTGGCAAGCTCCTCTCCCCAGCCTCCTACTGTAAAAGGGAAGAAGATCCCAGCCCCGCTGATTCAGCCCCTCACTCCATGGCCAGACAGCCACTGACAGCTGTGTCCTGGGGCCCACGTGGGCCTGGCCTCTGTGCAGACTAGCACTCAGCATGCTTAGTGCCACACTCAGCCCAGGAGAGACGACCCAGCCCTGGGCTCAGAGACCCCACTGTGGGTGGATAGAAAACAGAGTCATTTAAATACAACTGTGAAGGGTGTTGCAAGGGAGGGGCTCGAGGTCCCCAGTGTGGGATGGGGTGGTCAAGGAAGATCTCCTGGCCCAAGTGGGAAGTGAGAGCCACCAGAAAAATGAGGGGTGGGGTAACTATGGAAAGACCCAGAGGGGCGAGGAAGACTGTTGGGTTAGAGGAGGTTAAAGACAGACAGGGTTGGACATGTTGGCTCACGCCTATAATCCCAGCATTTTGGGAGGCCAAGACAGGAGAATCACTTGAGGCCACGAGTTCAAGACCAACCTGGGAAACACAGTGAGACCCTGTCTCTACAATTTTTTTTTTTTTTTTTTTTTTTTTTTTTTTACGGAGTTTCACTCTTGTCTTCCAGGCTGGAGGGCAGTGGCATGATCTCAGTTACTGCAACTACTGCCTCCCAGGTTCAAGCAATTCTCCTGCCTCAGCCCTTGGAGTAGCTGGGATTACAGGCATGCGCCACCACGCCCAGCTAAATTTTTGTATTATTAGTAGAGATAGGGTTTTATCACATAGGCCAAGCTGGTCTTGAACTCCTGACCTCTGGTGATCCACCCACCTCAGCCTCCCAAAGTGCTGGGATTACAGGTGTAAGCCAACGTGCCCAGTTTACAAAAATTAAAAAAAAAAAAATTTAGCGGGGCATGGTGGTGCACAGTTGTAGTCTCATCTACTCAGGAGGCTGAGGTGGGAGGATCATTTGAGCCCAGGAGGTGGAGGCTGCAGTGAGCTATGATTGCACCGCTGCACCCCAGCCTGGGCAACACAGCAAGATCCTGTTTATCAAAACAAAAACCCAGAGTAAGATGGGCAGGGATTTCCAGAGGCCCTAGGCCAGTGCCTTGGAGAATAAGGGAGACCCTGAAGAGCTTGCATGGAGGAGGCAGCAGCTTGGAGCTGGAGATGCCACTAGGATGGATTTCTTTAGCTGTGCGGACTGGGGACAGGGTGAGGAGATAATGGCTTAGACAACATGGTGGCCCTGAGCCACTGAGGAGGGCTATGGAGCCCATGACCACCCCTGGCCTTCCCCTGACTATGATGGAGACAGCAGTTTCCAGTGGAAAATGTCAGCTCAGTTCCTGACTTGGGTCTGTGGGGGCTGGTCCCTGGGATTCCGCTGGCCCCGAAACTGGGCCATGCCCTTTGTGGGGACCTACCCACAACGTCTTCAGTCCCCCAGGGTCCCCTGGGAGCCGGACGCGATCAGCCCTGCCGGAGTTCCCTGCGCCCCAGGCCGGGTCCCCTAGGGCTTTGGTCGTTCCCACAGCTGTCCCGGGGGCCCCCTCCACGGTGCGTTGCCTGGGCCCCAGCGGTCGCTGGGCTGCAGCCTGGGGCTCCTGGCACTGGAGGGGGTGGAGGCGGCAGTGTGGATGGCGGAGCCCGGCTGCGCGTGGGCTCAGGCGCGTAGTGGGTACGGAGTAGGCGAAGCTCTGCGGCGCGGCACCGGCCGCCGGCGAGACCCGGGGCCACAGCCCAATGGGCCGGGCCAGGAAGAAGCCCGCGCCCCCGGCCGCCTGGCTCGCCTGCGGGGCCAGCTCCGGGCGGAGGCGGAGGCGGCGGCGGCGGCGCGATCCGAGATGCCGCGGCTGCTGAAGCTGGTGGAGCGCACGGGGGCCCAGGCGGCAGGCGCGGGCAAGAGGACCGGTGTGCACAGCCGCGACTCCGTATGCTCGGTGTGTGGGGAGCCGCGCGGCGGGGCCACCTACCCGGCGGGGGTCTTGGAGGTGAGCGAGCGGCGGCTGCAGGAGGGCCTGGCGGCGGTGCGCACGGAACTGGGCGCCGGGATCGAGGCGCTGCGCGCGGAGCTTCGAGCGGAGCTGGACGCCCTGCGCGCGCTGCTGCCTCCGCCACCGCCACCGCCACAGCCACCACCGCCTGCCCGACGCGAGCACCGCGCTGCGCCCCGCGGCCCCACCCTGCTGCGGACGCTTGGTACGGTGAGCGCCCTGATCGCCACCTCCAGGCCCACCGACGACGCCCCGGACGGCCCAGCAGACAGCGGAGCGCACAGAGCCCCGGCCCGGAAGAACCACAAGAAGATGCTGGTGCCGCCTGGGGCCCCGAAAGGTGGCGGAGACTGAGGGCGACAGCACAGAGGGCGGCCTAGGCAAGGTGCGGAAGGCGTCGCCGCTGGCTGGAAGGGCTCTGGGAGTCCAGGACGGGGCAAGTGAGCAGCTCGTTTCCCTTTGTGGAGCGTGGCTCTGAGCCAAAAGGGTCCCCGGGTGCCGCCAGCTAGGGTTCTGGTACTGGCAAGAGCGGGTGGGAGCGGGATGGGCAGAGGGTGAGGTACGTGTGTCTGGGGAGTGTGGATGGCAGCCGGGGTCCTTGCTGGAGACTGAGTCTGGCTGGAGAACGGGGTGTAGCCCCTTGGAACCTTAGAGCTGGGCCTTTAGGCCTTTGGGCCTTGGGTCGGGATCAGGGCTGGGTCAGCCTCCAGAGGAACAGCCAGGACTCCCATTCCTCCGGGGTGACTGCATGCAGGGTCTTTTCCTTTCAAGATCTCAGTGAGGAGCCAGGGTCTCCATGCACTGGAACAGTGTCACCCACACATAAGGCCACAGACCCCAGGGACACAGGGGTGGCTGAGACAGGCAGCTGGTGATGTCCCTCAAGACGGTGTTAACCAGTATGTAACCACATTCCACATGGCACCAACTGCACAGCAGCCTCCGGTCAGCCTCACTCTGACAGTGGCTCCCTCTCACTGGAGAGCGTCACCTGGACACAGAGCCTTACCTAGTCCGTGTCCCGTGGACCCAGCTTTGCTTTGGACAGTGACACCAAGAATATTCACCCCTTTACTTAGACCCACAGGCAGCCACCTGGACACAAGCACCTCTCCAGAGTCACCCTCTATGCAGACTCCACAGCCGAACTCCCAGGGAGGCTCTGGCGCATAGTACACCAGGCAGCCCTCCACGGTGCCCAGCACCCACACAGCTAGGATAGCCTGCAGCGGAACCTGGAGCCAGAGGCTTCTCATCTCTTGGCCTTGGGCAATGTAGCCTCCCCTGGAGCCTTGGTCCCTGCGGCAGCCCCTTTGACCCACCACCCCTGCTCTTCCCCCTCCCTAGCAACCCTAGCACCGGGCTCTGATGGGCCTGGGGCTCAGCTTGTGATTCTGTCAACCGTGGGTGGCCCTCCATGTGAAATAAACAATGTACAGGGTAACCTTAATGTGGTGTGTGTGTGTGGGGTGGTGTGACCCGGCATGGTCCCCCACTGCAAGAGGGGCATTTCCTGCCCTAATCCCACTGAGGCCTCAGTGTGCCTACCTGTTCCGTGGGAGCCCTCTGAGTGACTCTCTCCTACCTCATCAGAACCTGGGCCTCTCCAGATTCCTCTCAGAGAGGGAGGGAGGGGGATTGAAACCAGACTCTCCGTGCCCCGCTGACCCCATCCCCAGAACCCCCCAAGCTGGAAGACACCTTCTTCAGGCCCGACACAAAGGCGGAGAAATTGGTGGTGCTATAGTCTTGCTCCTGGGAGGGGCTCCAAATGGGAGGGGTTCTGAGTGGGGGGTATCTAAAGGGGGAACTCTGCTGGTAGAATCTAAGCAGGAGGCTCCCAGTGGCAGGGGGCATCTGGCATCTGGGAAATGGGCTGGAGGGTTCTCACCCCCACTGACCCTGGTGATCCATACCCTCCCACCACCCCATCTTCTCGCAGATCCTATAGACCCTAGCGATCCCCCACAGACTCCGCAGGCCCAGCCTGTCCACTTCCAGGATCCCCATGGACCCCTTTTTTGGAAACATACATAGAGTCACAGTCTTGCCCTCACCACCAGCACTGTGAGCCCATCAGTGTGGTGTGACGCCACCTCCACGTTCTGGTACTTTGTGTTCATGTGGACCATGTGCATCTGGGGGGAGGCACAGATGGTGGGAGATACCCAGCTGCCCCCACTTTGCTCCCCCTCACCTCTGTGGGGCCCTCTGGCCACCCAACCTCATGCCCAAGTCCACCTCCATAGGCTGGCGCTGCCTGTCCAGGCTGTGCTCTGAGCCTGCTCACCTCAGGCCCCCGCAGTGGAAGTGCAGCAGCAGTGTGAAGTAGGCAGGCAACAGCAGCCCAGGCCCCTGAATCTCCAGGTGGTTCTGAGGATCAGTGTCCATTTGGAGTAGCCCTGAAGGTGAGAAGGCACATGACACCCTCTCTACCCCACCACCTGCCCACCTTGTGCCATTAGGGTAGGAGCATAGGCCCCTCCTCAAGCCAGGCTGCTCCTCAGTGGAACGGGACCCACAGTGTCCAGAGCTCCTGCTGGTCAGCAGAACAGGGCTCCACTGACTGCAGGGGAAACCCTGCCCCCACTACCACACCCAGCATGGTGTGGAAGAGAGCAGGGGGCAGCCCTCCTGGCGTGGGGCTCTGAGCCCAGCTATGTGTGGTCAGGGATCCTGGCCGAATTGGAGATCTTGACTACTGGTCCTCAGGGGTCACGGCTGGTTGTGATTTGTTGGGTGGGGCCTGGTGCCTATGCACAGGGTGTGTCTGGACTGCTGTGTGAGAATGCTCCTTCCCTGTGGAGCTAGCCCCTATGGAGGATTCTTGGCCCTGTAGGGTGTCTCAGCTCCCATGTGTAGGGGCTGCTGGTCCCTGTGTACATGCAGGAGCTCTCATGACCTGTGTGGGGCTCCTGCCCCTGCCTAGGAGGGGTCCTGAACTGCAGGGTGCTGACCTGTATGGCTGTCATTCTCTGGGGTCCAAGGGCCTAGAGGTGCTGAGTCGTCGCCTCGGAAGATGAAGGGCCCTAGGGTAGAGATCCACCGGACCCTGTGAAGGTCAGTGTTGATGGGGGACTGGCCTGGGCCCCAACAGGCAGGGGCCAGCTTCTTCCAGTGGGTGGGGACTGTGGGAACAAGGACTGCCATCTCTGGGGTGGGTAGGGGTCAGAAAGGCAGTCTGGGGGTGCAGCAGCGGGTGGCCCCCCATATACCCAGAGAATAGCCCAGCCTCAGGAAACCACTCTCTGCTTCCCCTGCAACCTGAACAGGTCACAGTGCCCTTCTCTCGCACCCTGCATCTGACCTAGCCACCTAGTCTGCAGGGTCTCCGGCACACAGTTGCACACCCACATGAGGACCTCTATCACACGCACACGCTTGACCTGGCCACAGCAACAGGCACACCAGTCTTGACTGACTCAAGACTGGTGATCACAGCAGACCCAGACTCACACACAGGGGGACAGTCATGCACTTGATGCTCAGTCACTGGGGCAGAGGACTGCAGACAGAAACCTGCAGACCACAGAGTGCAGCCTGCAGACTCTCTCTTGGCCACTCTTGCACCACTGGCATATGCTCTGGTGGTGCCAGGACACAGCCTCACATGACATTCTGTCCTCACCACACTTTGGGTCCTGTAAGTCGTAGCACCAGGCACCGACGGAGACAGGAGGCAGGGGACTGAGCTGAGAGGCCAGTCATCTGGGCCCTCTCCAAGCCCCATCCCGTCAGCTGGGGTCCAAGAATGAAGTAGGGCCAGGGGCTTAGGCCTGTGGAGGCCCCGTCACCCCTACCCTAGTATTTTCTCCCCCCAGTCCCTATCCACCCTCAGTGGCAAGACCTAAGGGGTGGTGGAGCGTGGCAAAAGAGGGTAGATTGGAGACCAAACAGACAGAGTCCTGATGCGCAGTCTCATACTGCAGCACTAGAAAGGCGAGCACGTTGCCAGGGGCCTGTGTGGTGCAGTGGCAGAGCAGCTCTGAAGGACTAGAAAACGGCTAGACCGCGGAGCCAGGCTGCTACATATTTACTCATTATCTAGGTGGGCTAGGGGTGTGGCCATCGAGAGGGTGGGTGGGGCGGTGCCCAGGCGGGGCCACCGAGAAGAGATCGAGTGCTGCAAACTCACCCAGATGCACACTGGTCCCGGGGCTGTGCTGAGTGTCAGCAACAATTGCTGAGGTTAATCCTGCAGGGGAGGAGTGACCTATTATCTCTATTTATAGTCAAGGAAACAGGCTGGGGACTGTAATGACACGCCAAAGCCACCAGCAAGAAAGTTCAAACAGTGAGGGCACCTTTGACCCCAGCGCCCATGACTTTCGGGCAAGGATGGGAGGAAGGTGGAGGACGTCTCTTGCCCCACTGTGGGCCTGGAACCTCCACCCCATCCCAAGACCACAGCCTCCCTCCTACCTGGGCCCCTCTGCGGATCCAGGCCAAGACAGAGCTCTGCAGGTCAGAGGGGACTGCTTTGCACCTTGAGCCTCTTTCCAAAATTTCCAGAGGGCAGGGCCCTTCCCACTTGGGGGATGGAAGGTGGCCTCTACCCAGAGGCAGGGCTTGGGGCTCTGTCCAGGATGCTGATGGTGACCTGTGTGCCCAGGACTCAACACCCCCATTCCACTCCTGGCCCAGCAGATGGGATTTAAAAAAAAAAAGGGGCTGCCTCCTTGAGGCTCCCATCCCCGCCAAGGGACTTACCAGCTCCTTTCCTAACCCTGACCCCTCTTGTATCCAGTCACAAGACTTCCTCCAACATACATACCTGGAATGCCCCAGGGCGGGGCATGCAATTACACTTCCTGGACCCCCTACCCTCTGAAACCTAGAGATGCCCTTGCCGGACAGGCGTGAAGCCCCAGAGGACCTAGACTACTTTGGAACCCTAGGTGGCTTGGACTGCGGGCAAGGGCTGTTTCCAGCCACCTGGATAGTAAGGGGAGCTTAGAGGAGATGGGGCTGATGGCCAAGTTCCAAGCCCTGCCCTGGCACCCCATCCCATGGTGGCTCTCAGATGGTGTCAAGCTTTTATGTGGATCCTGTGTCAAGTCAGCAAAACCTGCCAAAGCAGCAACCAATGCCCCAGGCAAGGAAGTGTGCTATAGGACAGCTGCAGGCAGGGCTGCTGCTCTCTGCACACACCTGGGGCTCCAGGCTCAGCTCTGCCTGGTCCTTGGGGGATTTGTGGGATACCTGCAAGGGCTGCAAACCCTGGGAGCATTCTGTTGAAAGGTGGGTGCTGCCACTTCCCCTCAGCCTGTGGTAGCTGTGGGGGTCACACCAAGGACCACGCCTCTTCCGGAACACAAGTTTATTTGGCATTTGATGAAATGGTTCTCACAGCATCTTAAGAGTTAGTGCCAACCCAACCAAAATTAAACCCAAACTAAAAACCCTTAATGAAAGGAAAACATTAAAACATTGAGACAACGCACAGTATCAAACCCCACCTCCACAAGGCAGGTCAGAGGGCACTGGTCTCCGCAAACGTGGCAAGGTGGTCCTGGGGAAGGAGGACCCCTGGAGCACAAGGCTCAGCAAGCACAGCCCCAGGACTCTGGTGAGATTGGGGTCGCAGCAGGCCTTGCAAAAGGGGCATTCTGGCTGGCAGCGCGAGGACAGATGAGCGAGTCCAGCTCTCCTCACGCACCCTGGAGCTGCAGTGGCGGCAGTGTTCTGGGCAGCCCTGCAAATGGGCCTTCTGCCCAGCCTGAGGTGCCAGTTGACCTAAGCAGTTGTGGAGGCCCATGGGGAAAGGGCCATCCAGAGACCCCCGGCCAGCCCAGAGGCCCACCCTCTGCAGCTGGCATGGTCCACTTTAGCCCCTTCCTCAATGCTCCCTACACGTCTGACTGGCCCTAATGTTCCTCTGGTCCCCAAAGGAAGCTTTCCAGTCCTACACATCTTGTGCTAAGCACCCTGTCCTGCGCACAGCTTTGAGGCCCGGTAGGAACCCTCTGAGCTCCTGGGCTCAGGTCCATGGGGGCCTCTGCGGTGTGGCCCTCAGGCCCTCGATGGCCACCAGGCACCAAGAACGCACATGCTGGCTGCTCTGGAACCTGGCTGCCCTGTCCCATGCACGATGTGCTTCCTGCCTTGTCCTCTGCAGCCAGCATGGGAGTCTTGTGGGCAGAACTTCCTTCTCAAGGAAATAGCAGCCCTTCTGCAAGGGGAGCACAAGCCTGCCAGCACGCAGCCTCTGGTAGGCCAAGCAATTCAGTGACAGAACACAGATCTGGCATGAAGGCCAAGTCTGTGGCAACTCAAGATTCTCATTCCACACGGGATGGAAAAAATGGGTATCCACACAGTGTGAAAACGTGTCAAGAAGTGGACTGTGAATGGAGTCCATCGCCAAGCAGCACCACAGAATGGCATGCTCCTGCCAGGTGCCGTCCTGCTGGTCTGAAAAGACTGAGCGAGACACAGCCCTGCCTCAGCACAGACCAGGATGCATGGATGACCCTGGAAGAGTGGGCCCCCGCCCATTGGCAAAGTTCCATGTGCCACCCTCACCTGCAAACACTTGGCCACATACACACACACAGACACAAACATGTAAAGATCCAGACATTCAACGTAGAAAAGATATGGATGTGCTAAAAATCGCACAGAACCCGCTTAATCTCCAAACCTCAGAAACGTTAAAGGCCCTGTGTCAGGCTTCAAGACCACCGCCTGGTAGTAGGCAACAGGGTCTTTTAGGGAAAAGGGTCCCAGGCAGAGCCCCCAGCCCCTGCACGGCTGAGGAGGGGCCGAGGTGTGCATGCGGCTGCTGGGCAGAGCTGCAGCAGTGGTGGTGGTTTAAGGAGTCGACTCTTAAGGAGACAGATGCAGCCCAGGATGGTGGTTTCAGCCACCCCTCCCCCAATGAAGCAACCCTTTATGGCACAAACCAGGTCAGGGGGCAAGCCCAGGGGCAATTCAACAGGAGGCAGGAGCCCAGGGCTCCAGAGAGGAGAGGCAGGGGGCGGCTCAGCCCCCAGGCCCTGGCAGGGCACCTGGGGCCTCAGCGCCACTCCAGAGCTTCCTCCTGGGGAAGCCATGCACAGCAATGCTGGGAGGGACTGACGGGGTGGGGTCAGGCCTCCTGCCACAGAGCTGGGCTGCAGAACGCCCGGATGGAAAGACACAGTGAAGAGCTCAATCTCCTTCCAAGCTCTCCTTCTCAGGACTTCAGGTTCCAGAGCCCCAGGGAACTCCCAGCCAGGGGCAGGGCCACCTTGATGTTCACAACTGGCCTTGCGGGGGTCATCTCCAGGGCAGTTGTTGTGGCAAACTCAGAGGCTGTCTCCCTGAAGCAGACCCACTGCCTATACCACCCTGCCAGCCCAAAAGGCCCCCTCCTGAGGGCGGCCAGCAAGGGGCACCATGGCAGCCCCCACTGTGCCTGTCCCAAGCTGGTAACTGGTCAGCAGGCCTCTCTGGACAGCACACTGAAGCAAGCAAGCCCGCCAAAGACATGTCGGGTGTGGCCATGGCCCCACAGTACCTTCTTCATACCCTGCCTCTAAAATGTGGGTCTGAACAATTTTGTCACTCTTCTGCCATTTAAAAATGAGGAGACAGTGACCCAAAGCTATGCATTTTCTGAAGCCCTCAAGGAACTCGGTGCAAGCCATCACTTCTTTTGGCAGGAGGCGGGCCACGGTCTCTATGTACACACGCATGCCTGCCAGTGATGTGAGGCAGTACGCGGGATCCAGGCTGGGACGGGGCCTTTCAAGTCTCCCACAGGTGTTTTCGACAGCATACACGTGCTCCCAGACCATTAGGGTACAAGCTGGACCATCTACACCACAGTATTGAGGGAGCTGCGGCTGTGGCGGCCACCCCCTGGCAGTGCCTCTGCAACTGGGGTGCTCCCACTCTGGGCAGGGTCAGGGGGCACGAGCAGGGCACTGCTGCTGTCGGCAGAGTCTTCCAGGTCTGCCAGAGAGGCCCCTGCAGTGGGCAGAGGCTGCTCCAGGCGCCGGGGTAATGCACCTTCACTGCCACCATCCCCAGGTGCTGGCAGGCTGACCTCCTCGGGCTCAAAAGCATCATCATCTGCAGAAAGAGAGAGAGAGAGCTATGAGGCAGGTGTGGGCCTGGCACAGGGGATGCAGGGGAGCTGGGCAGAACCACGGAACACCTCCTGCCTGAACGCCCCCGAGCCTCAGATTTTGAAGGGGAAGCCTACCCCACACCCCTGTTGTACCTACTGCTCCCTGTGGCTGGGAACCTGGTATATGCAAGGTGCAGGGCACATCCCAAACAGCTGACACCGGCCTGTCCCGCCATCAGTGTGAGGTGAGGGAGACACACTGACCAGAAGTCACTAGAACAGAGGGGCCCAAAGGGAGACAGTCTCAGACTCAGTACGAGTGGAGACCCCACTCGGCAGGAAGGCAGCGGCATTTGCCATCAGGGAGGCACTGGGCCCAGGGTGGGTGGAAGAACACTCAGGGCTGCAGCTGGAAGTGTGGGCAACAGGGCTGGAGCAGGCAGGCTGGAAAACCACACGGGTGTCTACAGGAAGCTCCAATCCAAGGCAGGCTGTGTGGTAGGGATTCGACTCGCTTTGTTTTGCCTGGTTTTTATTACTTTTTCTTTCTTTTAAGAGATAGGATCTTTTTTTTTTTTTTTTTTGGAGAGTGGAGTTTCGCTCTTGTTACCCAGGCTGGAGTGCAATGGCGCGATCTCGGCTCACCGCAACCTCCGCCTCCTGGGTTCAGGCAATTCTCCTGCCTCAGCCCCCTGAGTAGCTGGGATTACAGGCACGCGCCACCATGCCCAGCTAATTTTTTGTAGTTTTAATAGAGACGGGGTTTCACCATATTGACCAGGATGGTCTCGATCTCTTGACCTCGTGATCCACCCGCCTCGGCCTCCCAAAGTGCTGGGATTACAGGCTTGAGCCACCGCGCCCGGCCTATGAGATAGGATCTTAAAAGACTGGATGTCGGCGTGCAGTGACATGATCGTGGCTCATGACAGCTTTGAATTCCTGGGCTCAGGTGATCCTCCAGTCTCAGCCCGCCCAGTAGCTGGGACTACAGGTGTGCCCACTATGCCTGGCTAGTTTTGAATTTTTTATGGAGATACAGGTCTCACAGGCTGGTCTTGAACCAACCTGGGCAACACGGGGAGACCCCTCCTCCCGCCTCAGCCTCCCAGAGTGCTGGATTACAGGCGTGAGCCACTGTACCTAGGCTGCCTGTCATTACCACGGGCCATCTCTAAAAGCTGACAGCACAAGGCCCCGGTGATGCACTTCCCTCCTGGCCAGCCCCTCACAGCCCCCACCCTGCTCTGCAGCCTGGCCCACAGAGGCATCTGGGACTTGCTGCCACCCACCGGCATCCCCTGCAGGAAGCTGGTCCTAGCCTGGAAGACTGACAATCTGTGTCCTGAGGGCAGGGGTCGAATGCAAGTCTTTTCCGCACCCCCCCAATCATGCAAGAGCTAAGACAAAGCCGGAAAGAAGTGAGGGCCCCCAGGCCTCTGCAGCTGGGTAGGAGTACGGGCTCAGCCTCATGTGCCAGGTCACTTGACAAGGTGTTCCCTCTCCCTGGGGAGTCAGGCACCTGCAGGGTCATAGAACACACTGTCCGGGTGGATGGAGGCCTCGTAGGGTGGCGGGGGGTCGTCAGGCTGGCCGATGTCTGGGTACTTGTATGCCGTGTAGGGAGGTGGAGGGTCATGGAAGTGGAAAGTCCCGCCCTCTCCATCGTCAGAAAGATGCAGCGGCGTGAGGCCTGTTCCGAAACCATCGGGGCCGTAATCAAAGCCAGGGATCCTGCGGCCGAGGTTGAAGTGGTGCACTGGGCCATCAAAAGTGAGAAACGGGAATAGAGCCAAGTCACTGGGGGCAAAATGCCTGGCTCCCGAGCTCCCCACACCTAGGCTGGGCCTGCCGTCTCTGAGTGCACACACCTGCGCCCCGCTGCCTACTCTGAGGCCACAGTCGGCATCCCCATGAGACCCCCATGCTCCGCAGCATGTCCCACCCTCACCACACCAATCTGTCCCTCTGGGCTGACACTTCTGGCAGACCCAGCCTCTGACTCTTAGAGACCTCTGAGTTCTGCCCACCCCGTGGCTCGGTGGGAATGAGGGTCTCAGCAAGAACTTTCCTGGCCCACAGGTGACAACGCAGACCCCACAACATGTGGTCCTCAAACCTGACCAGGGGGCCCTCCACCTGCCTCTGCCCCTCTCTCCTCAGGGCTGGGGAGCTCATGGAGATACAGGGTGACCAGGGGTGGGGATGGGGACCAGGGCTGTGGCCCTCAGAGGGCTCTCACAGTTTGCTCCAATCAGGGACTCGATGCGCTCCCGGCGCCGCTGACGCAGCCGGTGGACCATGAAGAGCAGCAGCGACAGGATGAGGAAGGAGGAGATGCAGCTGACGACCAGGCGCATCCCACTGGCCATGGAGTCGAACAGGCTGTTGCCATCTGAGGGGGAGAGGAAATGCCCGCTCTGAGAAGCAGGGCCACCCTCCTGCTGGGCTGGGGACGCTGTTGTCCTCTCGCCCAGGTGGGCTGCGTGGACGAGGCATGCAGTGTCTCCCTGCACTCGACCATCTTTAGGATACATATGAAATAAAGCCACTCAAAATAAGAACTTGGTAACAACACAGAAGCAGAAGAGCAAATCCTAGGTCACGAGGAGCATCTCACCATGGCCCCTGGGGCTGCTGTGCGCCAACACCCATCTGACCATCACCAGAGCAAAGTGGGGTTTCCAGTCCTAGGACCAGCACTCCTAGGATGCTGTGCTCATGCACTCTGTGCCCCAGGTGTGGCTGGGGAGTGGCCCTCCGGCAGAGGTGCACATCCTTTCCCACAGGCCAGGGCTGTGCACAGGCCACCGACTGTGACTGACAGTGGCCTTCCTTTTGTCTGAGGCCTGGCTCGTGGGAGGAAGGTGCTCAGCTGCCCAGCGAGAATGAGCCAGGGGGAGGTGAGGGGCTGCCTGTCCCTGTGGGAGCCAGGGTTGGCCAGGTAGGCAGGGGTCTCACGGATGACAGATGCTGGCAGTTTGGAGTAGGGGTGACATCCCCGGAGAGTGTGGCTCAGTGGGCTGCTGTGGCGAGGACAGGCTGCAGGGGAGTAGCACAGGGCATCAGGAAGCCACGAGGAGGGCCTGCTGTGGCAGAGAAGGGAATGACAGAGGCCTGGACCAGGTAGGGACAGATGGGGAGAAGTGACAGCACAAGGTACACTTGGGACTCAGATTGCCACAACTCTCTGATGGACTGTGTGGGAGACAGTGAGCACCTGTGGGAAGCTGCACGGTCATCTCAGATGTTACACAAATGAGCCTCTGCTGTAGTTGGGAGTGAAGCCTGTCACTTCAATCCTTAAGCCATGGCACAGAAAATGCACATCCCCTGATGCACCCAGCCTCAGGCACACACATGCAGATGACACTTGGACACAGCACTGGGTCCCACACACTTCCCCACTGAGACACTCTACTGGTTCAGCCACACCCACACACTGGGTACACACGCACCATGCGTACGTGTAGTAGGGCTGGGTGGACCCCACTCCACCTGTTTGCTGGTAAGTGGGCAGGAAGGGCCATGAAGCTGAGTCCCAGCCAGGCAAGACGCCAAGGAGCACCGGGTCTAAGCTGCTGCACCTTCCTCTGCTCTTCCTGGACCCTTTCATGCTTTTCATGGCCACCACTTGGCTGGGGTGCTACTAGTATTCGGCAGCTGAAGGCCAGGGGTGCTGCTCAACATCCTACTCTGCCCAGGACAGTGCCCATCACACAGTATCTGGTCCAAATGTCAGCAGCGCCAAGAGGGAGACACCCTGCCCTACTGCAGTACACACCAGGGCTAAGGGGCTCACTATGAGATGCCCATGGGGAAGCAGAGATCATGTGTGTAGTACCAGGCATGAAGGGATAATTTATACCAGTCACATGTCTATAACACGACTGGCACGTCCATGTACTCCTGACCTAGGTAAACTGGCAACTCACACAAGTCACAGAATAATGGAGCCAGGAAGTGGTCCCAGAAGTAGCTGCCTCCACAGACCAAAAGTGAAGGCCAAAGAGGCCTCAGAACGAGGAGTGACCCAACAGCTCCTGGAAGCAGGAGGACCCTATACCAGCAGGGACCCTGCTAAGCTAATGAATGGCCACTCCCACCTCTGCAGGCAGGACCCCAACTGCCTGCCACAAGGAGACACTTAACAAGCCCCATGTGAGTGGCTGGGCTCCCAGAGCCCTCAAGCCATTCTTGCTAGCCCAGTACACTCCATACCCACATAGATGGTAGCGCCAGCTTCTGCCCTACTCCCACAGGGCCAGGGAAGTGTCTCCAAAAGCTGCATTTGCTGCTGATGAAACATGAAATGAACATGTGAGAAGGATACATCTTCTCACCAAGTAGCTGCTTTTTCTGATACCTCTGACCCTCCTCCAGTCTCAAGGGCACTCTTCACCCATCAGTGGGAGAAATCCAGTGGCCTGGGGGCTGGCGAAGTGCCTGTTAATTGGAGGCCACCTCAGAGATCCCAGGGGAGCTCCTAAGGAAGAAGCCCCTTTGCAATGACTAACTTTTAAACAGTTCTAAAATAAACCCAATGACATGGTCAAGGTCCCAACTGTCCCTCCAAGGTGGAGACCAGAAATCATCTCTCAGAACCAAGCCACTTGTAGTCCTGCACAAAGAAAAGACCTGCCCCAGAAGCCAGAGGCCAGCCCAGGAGCCCTAGAGCCCCCTGATAGGGCTGGCCCTGCCATGGGGTTCTGAGCTGGGCAGTCAGGGTTGTCTTTTGTCTCTCAGCCACCCCACAGCACCCAGAGAGAGGATCCAGCCTGTGCATGAAGACCTCCAGTGACAAGGAGCTCGCTGTTTCACTGAGCTTGGTTACGTGGTAACAGTTTCAGAGTCTCCGTCAGAGATGGTAGGGGGAGCAGAAGGTCAGCAGGGATCAGAGGCTGAGACCCAGGAACCCAACATGGGCTCTGTGCCTGGGGGCTGCACTGGCCAAAAACCTCACCACGCTTCTGGGAACCTCATCATAGCAGGGCTGCCTGATGGCAGCAGAGCAAGAAGGGGCAGAGGGCAGCATGAGTTTTAGCTGCTGTGCACCTCAGCCAGCACTTGGTGCTGTCAGTTTCATTATTTTAGCCTTTTGAGCACATGGGTAGTATGCCGTGTGGATTTAGTTTGTTTCCCTAATGGCCAATACTGAGCATTGTTTCAGGTGCCTGACTGCCATTCTCTATCTTCTTTGGTAAAGTGTAATAATTTAAATATTTTTCTAAAGCCATTTTTTCAATAGAGTTGTTTTGTTTTCTTATTACTGAGTTTTTAGAGTTTTTATGTATTCTGAATACAAGACCTTTGATTTGTGTTTTGCAAATATTTGTTTTGACTCAGTCAGGAGCTTATCTTTTCATTTCCTTAACACCATCTTCCAAATAACAGAAGTTTTCAATTTTGATGAAGCCGAATTTGTCCATTTTTTTCTTTTAAGGATCATGCTAAAAATGTTGCCTAACGCATGGTCACAAAGATTTCTCTCCTGTGTTTTCTCCTAGAAGCAGAAAGTTGAAGGTTTTACAGCTGCGTTTATGACCATTTTGAGTAAATTTTACGTACAGTAGGAGGCACACTGTAAGGTTATTTTTTGGCATATGTATGTCCGGCTGTTCTGGTATCAGTCATTGAAAGACTATCCTTTCTCCACTGAACTGCCCTTAAACCTTTGTCAAAGATGTTGGCCTGTCAAAGATGGCTGATCTGAAGGTAGTGAGTTATCTCAATGGATTGTTCAGACAGTAACAGATCAAATTCCTTGTTCTACTCTTTTCCCGTTCTCACTACTGCACTTGACTAGTCTTAGAGAGAGAGAGAGAGAGATCACTTGATTATATGCAGGGTGGAACTGTTTCTGGACTATTCTGTTCCATTGATCTATACGTCTATTTCTTTATCAATACCACACTGTTGTGATTATTATGGCTGTACAGTAACTTATAAATTAGGTAGCACAGATCCTCCAACTTTGTTCTTTGTAAAAACTACTTTGGTATTCTAATTATTTTGCCTTTCCACTTAACTTTTACCTTTTTATTACTTAAGAGGTGGGTCTTGCTATATTGGCCAGACTCGTCTTGAACTCCTGGCCTCAAGCAATCCTCCTGCCTCAGATTCCTAAAGTGCTACGATTACAGGCATGAGCCACTGAATCCAGCCCACCTAATTTTTATTTTATTTTATTTTTATTTTCTGAGACAGAGTCTCGCTCTGTCACCCAGGCTGGAGTACAGTGGCTCACTGCAACCTCCACCTCCCAGGCTCAAGTGAGTAGCTGGTATTGAGCCATCATGCCCAACTAATTTTTGTATTTTTAGTAGAGATGGGGCTTTACTACATTGGCCAGACTGGTCACAAGCTCCTGACCTCAAGTGATCCACCCTCCCTGGCCTCCCAAGTGCTGGGATTACAGGTGTCAGACACTGCGCATGGCCCCACCTAACTTTTAGAATTAGCCTGTCAATACCTACAAAAATGTCTGCTAGAATTTTGGTTGGGATTATACTGAATCTACAATTTGGGAAGAATTAACCTCCTAATGATACTGAGTCACCTGATCCATGAACATGGTATCTTTCCTTTTATTTCTTTCATTTTTTTTAAAGTGTTGTAACAGATTGCAGCAAACAAAATGTGCACATATTTTATAATTGGTATTTCATGGTTTTTGGTGCTATTATAAATGGTACTTTTCTCAAAAATTTCAATTTTCAACTGTCACAGGTAGATTATATAAATGTAATGAATTTTTGTTATATTGACTTAGTATCTGGAGGCCTTGCTTAAACACACTTATTAGTTCTAGTAACTTTCCTGTAGATTCCCCAGGATTTTCTATGCAATCATGTAATCTGCAAAGAGAGATGGTTTCACTTCTTTCCCTCTGGCCTGGATGCTTTTTCGTATCTTCTTACCTTCTGGCACTGGCTTTGACCTTGAGCATGATGACAAGGTGGCAACAGCAGACACTCTTAGCTCATTGAAAGGGACATTCTGATGTTTAACTCATAACATCCTATTCCCAGAGTCTCCAGTTTTGGTGATAGTGCCTCGGTTCTTGATGCAGTATGAGCACTTCCCAGGAGCCCATGGAAGCATGGCCACAGTGTGGACAAAGCAGGGCCCAGCTAAGCTGCTCTGGCTGTGCAGGAGAGAGGGCTGCAGCTGCTCTGGGCTCATCCAGATGCACTAAGGGCCCTGCTCTGCTAAGAAGTCCTTGGGGATAGGCAGGCTCCTTAGGCCATAAATGCCCACAAACAGGTCATCCTTGTACACATCCGGGCATTCTTATAAAGCTTGGACCCACTGACAAGGCAGCGCTGGTAGTCTCCTGAGAAATGAAACCAGGAGTCCAGGTAGCATGGCTTGGGAACAAAGTTTGACTCTAGTAGCCAGTCACTAAGCTGGAGGTTTGAAGTTCTGTAGCTGGGCACAGGGAACTTGGTAAGCATGCAACTGGTGTTTCTTATGGCCCTAAACAAGCATGCACCCTATGTGAGGATAAAACTGCCCTGTAGAATGGGGTCCAAGCATCACCCTCTAGCTCTGGGTCCTCTAGTGAGCTTGGCTGCAAATGTAGCCTTTGTGCTCACCACAGTCAACTGTACATGTCTGATGGTACATGCCAGAGTGCCCACTTTCACCCAGCCTCAGGCATGGCCTCTGGAGGACGGCTCTGTCCTTCCACCCAGCAGCCCTCCTGGTGTGGAGGGACACTGACAACATTCCAGAGGCAGCTCTCGCTGTTGTGACCCAGCCTCTAGCTGCAGCCTCTCTTCCACAGGGCCCCTGGAGACAGAGATGGCCATCACACCCTGCCCAAGCTGCTCTTCTACAGGGGGCCACAAGTCCAGTGGCTTCCACAAGTCCCCATGATGTCACGCTTTTACTGTGGCACCCAAGAAAGAAAGAAAGAAACTCATGCTTTTGATTTACATTTCTCTTGAGATCTAAATTCACACAGAACTGCAGCTGCACTGTTGTGCAGAATGACAAAGCATGCCCCTGGAGTGTGAGGGGTGTTAATACACAGACAGCAGCGGCCCACCTGCCCCTCTCTTTTTGCAAGTGGAAGGGAGAGGATTACCCCGAGATCAGATTCTGTGTAGTGTCTACCTTAAAGCCACGCCTGGTGGTGGTGAGTTTGATCTCAAAACTAAGAATAATATTTCATCTTTTTCTTGAAGATTCTAAGGTAAAATGGATGACTGTAAGCAATGACAACCATCACTACCCTTCGTATCATCACACTAGAGAACAGGAAGAGCTCCAATGTGGACATAAATTAGAAGTCTAAGCCGGGCGCGGTGGCTCAAGCCTGTAATCCCAGCACTTTGGGAGGCCGAGGCGGGTGGATCACAAGGTCAAGAGATCGAGACCATCCTGGTCAACATGGTGAAACCCCGTCTCTACTAAAGCTACAAAAAATTAGCTGGGCATGGTGGTGTGTGCCTGTAATCCCAGCTACTCAGGAGGCTGAGGCAGGAGAATTGCCTGAACCCAGGAGGCGGAGGTTGCGGTGAGCCGAGATCGCGCCATTGCACTCCAGCCTGGGTAACAAGAGCGAAACTCCGTCTCAAAAAAAAAAAAAAAAGAAGTCTAGGCTGGGTGTGGTGGCTCATGCCTGTAATCCCAGCACTTTGGGAGGCTGAGGTAGGTGGATCACTTGAGGTCAAGAGTTTGAGACAAGCCTGACTCTACTAAAAATAAAAAAATTAGTCTGGCATGGTGGCACACATCTGTAATCCCAGCTACTGGGGAGGCTGAGGCAGGAGAATGGCTTGAACCCAGGAGGCGGAGGTTGCAGTGAGCTGAATTCACGTCACTGCACTCTCTAGTCTGAGCAACAGAGCGAGACTCTGTCTATTTAAAAAAAAAAAAAAAAAAGGAAGTCTAGCTTGGAGTCTTAAAAAGAGAAGACAGGTTTGAAGCCCTCAGTGGTGATTTGTGAACAAACAGCCACACTCAAGTTCAAGTTCATTTGTGGATGCTGTCAACCCAGAACGGAAAGGAGCAGCTGGAGGAGTCATGTCAGGCACACCCACTAGAGTAGTGACATCAAAGTCTCTGAGATCTCTCTGTGAGCAAAAGCTACCACTGCTGCTGCGCCATGCTCTGTAAACTCTCCTGAGTCCTCACCACTGAGGTAGCAAAGGGACCCCCAGCCTCCCGCTCCAGATAGGGAGGGTGGCTTGGGACCTACTATCAAGAGTCTCACCTGGATCCAGACACATGAACTTGCAGCACTCTTTGGGGTCCTTGCGGTACTGCTGACAGCCTTGGGGCCTCTCACAGAGAGCAGCCACGCACATCTCAGGCTCCCCTCCATGGCAGGTGCAGCTCAGGCATGGATCGTCCCCCTTAGGGGTGAAGTAGAACCCTTCATCCACCACGTTGTCCTTGATGTCAACACATGTTTGACCTGCAATGAGCATCCATTGTGTACAGATGTATACATTGCCAAAAACGGGAGCTTCCCCATGTGGGCCTGTGAATGCTACCTGTTACCTTAGAACGGGAATGAGACAGCTTGAGGGGTCACGTGAGACGTTCCCACTACAGTAGTGGCATCAAAGCCTCTGAGACAGCTCCGTGAGCAAACCCTGCCATCACTGCTGCACCATCTGACATAAGCTGACCTTTCCCATTTAGGCCTGGGGAACGAATAAGGCAACTAAAGAGTTGGCCAGATTGTGATAAGAGTCTTCCTATTGCTGGAATACCATGGATCTGCCCCATGACACAGGGAGTGGCTGTGCAAAAGCAGTTACTACAACACAGTTAGGACAAAGCACATCTGACCAGAGCAAATGGGGGCCGGAGAGCTAGGATGAAGCAGAATGTCAGACTCCAGGGTCCCTGCAGAAGTGTTTGCTTTGAAGTTGCCAAAGTAGATTACTCATGAGATTTCCTCAATTCTAAGATGCAGCTGTTATGAGTATTAACCATTTTAAAATCAGAATGTGTCTAAGGAAGCTGACAGTTCTGCTTGGGAAGACAGTCCCCTGGACCTGAGGCGCACTCTATACAGAGCTGACCTGGGACGAGAGTAAGAGGAATGGCCATGGCTAAAAACCCAGTCTTCAACTGGTAGGCAGACATTGCAAAGGCCTGGAGGAAGAGACAAGGGATGAAGGAGCCCGCAAGAGACCCATGTTCAGTGAAAGACACATGAGAAGGTAGCTTGTTCCAGTCTCCAAATGGGGTGGGAATGTCTAGAAAAAGATTCTTTTGGTATTTCACAACCACAGGTCTATGCCTCACTTAAGACTGGAGTCAGCTGGGCATGGTGGTTCACACCTGTAATCCCAGCACTTTGGGAGGCCGAGGTGGGCGGATCACCTGATGTCTTGAGTTTGAGACCAGCCTGGCCAACATGATGAAACCCCGTCTCTACTAAAAATAAATAAGCTAGCCAAGTATGATGGCATGAGCCTGTAATTCCAGCTACTCAGAGGCTGAAGCACGAGAATCTCTTTTTTTTTTTTTTTTTTTTTTTTTGTTAACGAGAATCTCTTGAACCTGGGAGGTAGAGGTTGCAGTGAGCTGAGATCACGCCACTGCAATCCAGCCTGGGAGACAGTGCGAGACTCTGTCTTAAAAAAAAGACTGGGGTCAAAAAAGATTTGACCCGTCTTTTTTTTTAAGTAAAATAAACTTTCCCAGACAGACAGCAACTGAAAGATCACCCATGTGGTCAGGAACTCCCAGGGCAAGATGCTCACATACAATTATTCCCTGGCTAAAACAGAGAAAAAAGAATGAAGAAAAATGAACACAGTTCCCAGAGAAATATGGAACACCATTAAGCACACCAACATATGTGAAATAGGAGTAACAAATGGAGAGGAGAGAGAAAAAAGCAGAAAAGAATAGTCAAAGGACAGCTGCAAACTACTCAAACTCACAGAAAAACAATAACCTACGCATTCAGGAAGCTCAACAAACTCCACCTAGGATAAATGCAAAGGAGTCACAAACTGACACATCAGAGTGAAAATGCTGAAAGTAAAAGACAAGGCGAAAATATGAAAAGCAATAAATGGGAAATGACTTATCACTTATAAGGGAAACCCAATAAGACAAACAACTGGCTTGTCGGCAGAAACAACAGAGGCTGGGGCAGTGGGATAACTGCTCACAGGAAACCATCAACCAAGATCCATAACCAGCAGAGACACCTTTTGAAAAATGAAAGTAAAATAAACTTTCCCAGACAGACAACAACTGAAAGAAGTTGTTTGCGGACCCACCTTATAAGAAACACTAAAGGACGTTTTCAAGCTAAAAGTATGCGGTCCCCAGAGAATAATTTGAATATACACAAGAAACTCAAGAGCAACAGTAAAGGCAATCATATGCTCATAAATTATAGCCTGCATACATAGTTTTCCTACTTCATTCTCTTAGCTGATTTAAAAAGCAATTGTAAGGCCGGGTGTGGTGGCTCACACCTACAATCCCAGCACTTTGGGAGGCTGAGGTGGGTGGATCACAAAGTCAGCAGTTCGAGACCAGCCTGGCTAAGATGGTGAAACCCCATCTCTACCAAAAATATAAAAATTAGCCAGGTGCTGTGGCAGGCACCTGTAATCCCAGCTACTAGGGAGGCTGAGGCAGGAGAATCACTTGGATCTGGGAGGTGGAGGCTGCGATGAGCCAAGATTGTGCCATTGCACTCTAGCATGGGACAAGAGGGAAATTCTGGCTCAAAAAATAAAAATAAGTAATTGTATAAAGTATGTATGGAATGTAGTGTTGGGTCTATAACATAGAAAAATGTAACACACTTAGATTTGCTAAGAATGACACAAAGGTGGTGTGTGGAAGCAAAGCTATACTGGACTAAAGAACCTTGACCTAAGTCTCACACCTTATTAAAAAATTCATTCAAAATGCCTCCTACACTTAAATGTAAAACGGAAAATGATTAAAATTTTAGAAAAAAAACAGAGGAAATGTAAGGCTAGGCGGAGAACTTGGACTTGACACCGAAAGAATAATCCATAAAAGGAAGCTGGGTGCAGTGGTTTATGCCTGTAACCCCAGCACTTTGTGAGGCTGAGGCAGGTGGATCATCTGAGGTCAGGAGTTTGAGACGAGCCTGGCCAACATTGTGAAATCCTATCTCTACTAAAAATATAAAAATTAGCCAGCCATGGTGGCTCATGTTGGTAATCCCAACTACTTGGGAAGCTTGAGGCACAAGAATTGCTTGAACCTAGAAGGTGGATGTTGCAGCGAGCCAAAAAGAAAGAATAATCCATAAAAGGAGAAACTAATAACTAGGACTTCACTTAAATTAAGAACTTTTGTTCTTTGGGTAAACAACAACAACAACAAAACTTTTGTTCCTGAAAGCCCATGCCCATGTGAAGAGGATGCAGGCAAGCTACAGACAAGAAAAAATATTTGCAAACCACATATCCGACAAAGGACTGTTATCTAGAATACATAAAGAATTCTCAAAACTCAACAGTTTAGAAAAAAAAAAAAAAAAGAACAAAACAGATTATTGGTTCACACCTATAATACTTTGGGAGGTCAAGGAGAGGATCACTTGAGCCCAGGAGTTTGCGGCCAGTCTAGGCAAATAGTGACTCTATAGAAAATAAAAAACTTAGCCAGGCCTGATGGTGCACACCTATAGTTCTAGCTACTCAGGAGACTGAGGTGGGAGGACTGCCTGAGCCCAGGAGCTAGAGGTTACAGTGAACTATGATTGCACCACTGCACTTGAGCCTGGGTGACAGAGCAAGACCCTTCCTCAAAACAAAACGAAAACACAATGCAAAGAGAAAATGGAAAGATAACATGAACAACAAAGAGAATATATAATAGATGGCAAATAAGCATGTGAAACATGAAAAGGTTTTAACATCATTAGCCTCAGGGAAATGCAAATTGAAACCATAAGGAGCTACATACCTACATACATATCTGCGTACCTAATAGAAGGGCTAAGATGAAAAATAGTGAAAACATTAAGTGCTGCGGAGGATACGGAGAAATTAGATCAGTACTACGTTGTTACTGGACTACATATTAGTATAGCCCCTCTGCTAAACAGTTTGCTTGTTTCTTTAAAAACTAAACATGCAACTATGATACAACCAAGCAACTGCAATCCTGGGCATCTATCACAGAAAACTGAAAACATGTTTGTCGCCGGGTGCAGTGGCTCATGCCTGTAATCCCAGCACTTTGGGAGGCGGAGGTGGGTGGATCATTTGAGGTTGGGAGTTCAAGACCAGAATGGCTAACATGGCAAAACCTGTCCCTACTAAAAAGACAAAAATTAGCTGGGTGTAGTGGCACATGCCTATAATCCCAGCTATTCGGGAGGCTAAGACATGAGAATTGCTTGAACCCAGGAGACAGAAGCAATGAGCCAAGACTATGCCACTGCACTCCAGCCTGGGCAACAGAGTAAGACTGTCTCACAAAACGAAAAAAAGAAAAGAAAAAGAAGGTATGTTTGCACAAAAACCTGTATGTGGATGTTCACGGAAGCTTTCATTGTAATACCCAAAAACTGGAATCACCCCAGATGTCCTTCAACACTTGATGCCTATAGTTTGAGCCAGCTTGGGCAACATGGCAAAATTCTGTCTCTATGAAAAAAAATACAAAATAAGCTGGGCACAGTGGCATGCGTCTGTGGTCCCAGCTACTCAGAAGGCTGAGGTGGGAGGTTCGCCTGAGCCCGGGAGGTTGAGGCTGCCATGAGCAGTGATCATACCACTGTACTTCAGGGTGACAGAGACTTTGTTGCGCCCACCCCCCAAAAAATGAACAAATTATTAATATAAATAACAATTTGGATGACTCTCCAGGGAATTATGAGTGAAAAAAGACAACTCCAAAAGGTTGCAGACTATATGATTGCACTTATAGAACATTTCTGCCTCATTATGACACCTGATGAAGGCCAGATCACAGATGACCGAAGACCTCTAGCCTACCACTTCTGTGGCAACAAGTCTAGGGCAGTCAGCGTCTGGTCAGTGGCCACCAGCTTCTCTATTTTGTGTCCATACTTCCAACTCAAAACTCACCAGGGATAGTCAATATGTTCCCCAAACCAATCACCTCCACTGCCTTGCTTCTAGTCAGCCTGCCTCTCATCAGAGCATACCCGGGAGCATTTAGGGCCCTGGTGAAAGGCCACTGTGCTAGACCCAATCCCAGCTGGAGGAGCGTCAGAAGCACTTGTGAAGGCGCCACCCTGGATACTCAGGGTGGGCCTGCCTCAGGCTGAGGTACGATTAGAACATCAGCCCCTACTATCTGTAGGCTAACGAGCCTTGAGTCACACGGTGGACTACTGCTCAGTGGGCCGCAAGAGATAGACTCTAGAAATGTGGCCCAAAGAGATGACCTAAAGTGGAGGGTAGAGCAGACATTAAGAAAAACCCTCTGGGCAAACCAGCCTCCACCCTGAACATCAATGCTACTGAACATGAAAGCCTTAGGTACACTGAGGGTAACTACTGTGCCAATGAACCCCAAGACCAGCCCAGATTAATGCCCCTCACTGTAGTAAGCCCTCCCAACAAGAAGGGCCTAGTGGAGGGAAAGGCATGGCCACTGCAAGCACCAGAACTACTGAACTCAGTCTCTACTGTCCTACACAAGATGTCAGATTTCCAATGAAGAGCCTAGAAAAAAGCACCATGCTCCAGAGACAAATCAATCAACAAAACCAGACTCAAATATGACACAAACGAAGAAACTTTCCCACGTGGAATTTAAAATCACTATGATTAATTTGTTAAAGGCTCCAATAGAAAAGGTGGACAATATACAAGATTAGATGGGAAATTCGGACAAGAGATGGAAACTTTAAGAATCAAATGGAAATCCTAGAAATTAAAAAAACAGACAAAATGAACAGAACAGATGAAGAAAGCCTTCAATGGGCTCATGTAGACTTGACATAGCCAAGGAAAGAATTAATAAACCTGAATGCAGGCCAACAGAAATTACTAAAACTGAAGAACTAAAAGAATCCAAGAGACATGATGACTAGATGCAATCCATGATTCTGGACCAGGAAAAAAAATAGCTATAAAGGATATTATTGGAACAACTGATAAAACTGGAATAATAGATTATGGATTACTGTGTGGTACTGCATCCATGTTAAGTGTCCGGATTTTGATCCGTATAGTGTAGGTACATAAGAGAGTGTCCTTGTTCTTAGGAAATACACACTGAAGTATATAAGGCTTAAGGTCCACAGTATCTTCAGTTTACTCCGAAATAATTCAGAAAAAATATGCAGAGAAAATGAATGATAAAGCAAATATGGTAAAACTGAAATACTGTAACTGGTGAGTCTGTGTAAAGGGTATATGAAAGGAAGTTCCCTGTATTATTCTAGCTTTTCCATAAGCTTCAAATCATTTTTAAATCAACAAGTTACAGAAGTCTCCCTCCCCAACCCAGATGGTCCTATAAGGTGGGATCTATCAAACACTCAAGAACAAGGTTATCTCCAACTTGTACAAACGCATTTAGACAACAGTAAAATAAAGTCTGCCAACTCATTTTATAAAACTAATATAGTGTAGTACAGAAACGGGTCAGCGTAGTTCCAGCTACTTGGGAGGCTGAGGTAGAAGGATCACTTGAGCCTAGAGTTCAAAACTGTACTGTGCTATGATCGTGGCTGTGATTAGCCACTGCATTCTAGCCTGGGCAACATACTAATGCCCCACCTTTAAAAAAAAAAGAAAGAGTCAAGAAGAGTATAGAAAAAAAATGTAACAGGCCAACCTCACTTCTTAAAAGAGTTTCAAAAATTCTAAATATCAGCAAACCAAATCCAGTAATATAATATATATATAAAAACCATGAGGATGGTTTAACATCAGAAAATCTATTATATAAAATAATGATTGAACAAATTGAAGAAGAAAAACCACATAGCCCCAATAAAATGCATTAAAAACATTTAATAAAAATCAATACACTTTTGTAACATAAATATTCCCAGCCACCTAGGAATAGAAAGGTACTTCCTTGACTTTATAAAGGTACATTCTAAAATCTCATGGAAGACATTATATAGAATGTTGACACACTAAAATAGCATTCTCTTTTAAGCTGAGAAGACAAGAATGCTCACTACCGCCATTTCTAATCAACACTGTCCTGGAGACTGTAGCAAGAAGAGCTGACTGGGCAACATAGTAAAACCACATCTTTAATAAATGTAAACAAATAGATAAATGGCAAAGATTTGAAAGAAGAAACAAACCCATCTAAATAGAAAATCTACGAAAATCCACAAACTAAGAGAACCAATAAAGGAGATCAGAAAACTAAAATTCACATGAAAAGGGTAAAAAATAGACAACATAATAGGCAAAAACTAGGCAGAGGAAGTCAACACCAGCTGTCAAGGTTTATCATGAAGCCCTCTCGTTTACCAGCCGCCTGGGAGGAACCCTCACCCTGTCTGCACATCTGCAATGGATGGTCTCGAGCAATGGCTGGGCCCGATCAAGAGGAATAAGCAGACCCACAGCACTGAGCCTGAGAACTTGAAGGCTACAAATCCTTGCGCTAAAACGAGCTGATTCACCACCACAGGGCTGTGAGTGTAGAGCTGGCAGCTGATGGCACAGGTGTGGTGGTGGTCATGGAGTGGAGATCTGGCCAGTGGAAGCCAGCCACCTCCGATGAGAGGACCATCGTCAACAACAACACCTGCACCATGCTCGACAACATCAGACACGTGATCCGCAAGAACAAAGCCCCCCCAACCTGTGTACAGCTGCCATCCGAGGGCCAGCGCCATCCTGCAAGGCCAAGAGCCTGTGATGGTGAAGAGGAAGGGGACCCACCCCGCCAAGAGCTCCTAAGGCCCTGCCCCTCAAAAGCAATAAAGAGTCAACTGGCTTAAAAACAACAACAAAAACAAAAACACCACCATAGACTGGCAAGGTGAACAGAGAAGCAGAGAGAAGGATGGCTGAAGGACCCACAGTGTGTGTGGGGGAGGTGACCAATGAACTCAGATGCTCCAGAGACACCACAGATTGCCAAGTCTTTGGGTCCTCATTCCCATTTAATTGCTTAACAACACTGCAACCGGGAGGACAGGGATGATTGTCTCCTCCCTGGGAAAGAGAATGGTGGGCTGTAAATGCTGACCAGCTGCCCTGGTCACAGAGCTGCAAATGGGCCCTGGGAACAAGGTGTGAGCTGGTGAAGATGCCGGCATCCCTGGCAACACAGCAAATCAGGTTCTGCCTCAGAAACCTTGAACTCAGGGTCCAACAAGGTGACACCAGGGCCCAGACATTCCCGAAGAAGGCTAACTCAAGGGGGCTTACTTCTTTTACACAGAAACGAAGACTTCTCGTAGCAGCTCTCGGCATGCCAGCTGTGGAGGTCGTGGTGCCGCAGGGTGGGGAAGTGGAAGCACTGGAGCTGGGCACAGAACACGTTGTCGTTCTCAGACATGGCTGAGGCAAAGATGGGATCTGGGGGCAGGAACACCTCTGAGGAGCCTGTGGGGGAGATAAAAGATAGGGCTGGACAACATCATGTCAGAGGACAAGTTGTACAGACCTCAAGGGGACCATGGTGTCAGACAGAATCATCAGCCACAGGGTCTGGACCGCCAAATGCTGGTGGTCACTGTGGCCAGCTGTTCATTCGGGACTCCCCAACCTTCTGGGAGTCACCCCAGGTGCTGGGCTCAGGAGGGACCACTCCTTGGAGCCTGCACGCACACAGCCCACAAACCCTGGGTAGCAGCAAGTGCCAGCCTGAGCACCAGAAGATGGTGCTCAATCAGGGTTAGCGGGTGGCATTTAATGTTAGAGCAACAGCATGAGTAACAAAGTAATGGATTATGGCACATTGGATTAAAATGCAAACAGGGGAATGGACAGGGGAAATAGGCAGGGAAGTTCTCCCTTAGGACAGAACACTCAGTCGTAAGCAGAGGACTCAGAAAGCCCACCCAGCACCCATGAGGAAGGCGCTGTCAGGTAGCATTGGTGCAGGTCGGCACTGCCACCAGCTGGCTGCTGGGAACACTTGGGAAGCACTGGCTCCAGGGGACCTCTCTCAACTCAAAGGAAACTGTCGCCCAGTCAGCTCCTGCCTTTCTAAGCCAGGCCCAAGGCAGCTGGAAACCAGGTACCCTCGCATGGAGAGAGTGAGGGTTGGGGACTGCTAACCTCCAAACCTCTCTTCTGCAAGGTTCCAGGTGGGCTCTGACCACACCCAGGGCATGGCGCAGCCAGCCCTAGGGCCCACTTTCTCCCCTGCACAGCCCTTCCAGTCTGGCCATCACGATTTCTTGAGGCTCACTCAACCACGATCACTGGAAACACAAAGCAACCTTTCCCAGAAAGTAAAATAATGAAGGCACACCTGGCGCTCTCCCCCTTCTAAGATGGCAGTGCAGTTCACACCTTTTACAAGCCTCCAGCATTCCCATCTGCATCTTTTGGAGCTGTTTACACCAGCACTAAACATGAGGCTCTGCCTCAAAAGAGCCAGCGAGTCTGGAGACAGGCCTATGTTATGGGCCTGCGGACACATGGTGCCCTGGCATGGGCAGGAGGACAGCTGTCAGGAAGCCTGGAGACCTGCAAGGCCTGTGCTGGGCCAGCAGGCAGCCACTGCAACAGTTGCACCCCCTTCCCAGGGACATCCAGGCCCACCATCCTGTCTGCCTCATCTACATGTATCAGACCCACAGCAGGGCAGGGAAGGGGCCCACTATCTGGAGTCGCCACCCCACACCACCTGGAGGGCTCGTCTCCACTGCTACTAACAGTGGGTGTCAGCACCATCATGCTGTATACCACCCCACCTTTCCTCCAGGTCCCCAAGCCCCAACACACCCTCCTCATCTCCCACAGATGCCTTCTCACCTAAGCAGAGCCCCTCCCCTCTTAGACACTATCTTCTTCACTCTTTGGCTTCTTGTCCCATAGGATGAAAACCAAACGGGTTCCTCCAAACCTTTAACAAACAAAAAATCTTGAGCGCTAAAGCTAGTTGCCAGCCCAGAGTTCCTGGGCACAACTACAGTATGTGATGGCAGAGCTCAGACCAAAGCCACAAATGACCTCTCAGGGCAGAGTCCTGGGACCCAGCATCTGCCCTCAAAAGCTACCTGGACTGAGGCACAGCCAAGTCAGAGAGGGGCTCAGGCAACCAGCAAAACAGGGCTCGTGCGAGACTCTAGGCCAGGGCCCAGTGAGCCACACAGTGCTCCCTTCTGGAAGTGAGCTGTGTTGGCACCTGTGCAGCACCCCTGCCCAAGGAAGCTGCTGGCAGCTGTGCGTCCAGGTGTGATGGGGGCTGGTCAGGCAGAGAGAGCATGTCTACCCAAAGTGCAGCCTTGCAAAGGGGGCAGGTGCTCATCCTCGGAGTGTCCCTGGAAGTACTCACAGTGGCAGCCACGACTAAGGCAGCCTGTGGGGCTGGAGAAGAGGCTGGGGAGTGGTACGTGATGGGGTAGTGAGGAAAGGGGCTGCTGGCCTTGATGGAACTGTGACTGCTATGAGAAATGACAGCTGTGAACGAGCGAGCAGAGGTGAAAAGGTACCCCGGCAGCTGTGTGGGGAGCGGTGGGGCTGGCGCCAGGAGACCAAACAGAGGCCACTAGCACAATCAGGTGAGGGATGATCGAGTGTCAGGTCCAGGTTAGGACTGCAAGACTGGTGCCAGGTGACGAGATCCTGGACGTATTTCAAAGGTATGAGAGGAGCTGGGAGGCCTCCCTATACTGCACTGGGGATGACTGCTGCAGATTTTTCTTCAGGGCCTCCCACTGCCTTCTGGACACCCTCTTACCTTAAACATCCCTCTCTTCCTGAAGATCCTTGTCCTGGAGAAAGGCCTTGTGAGCAGCTGCCCTGGCCACCAGAGTGACTGTGAGCAGTTCCTTCTGCAGAGCCCTCCTCCCAGGTCTCCCTCCAAGATGCTCCTCCTTACCTCCTGCCACCCTAGCTTGACAAGGCGGCAACAAGTTTCCAGGTGCCCCTCCCATGTGTCCACACATAAGCTGTGGGCAAGGGGCTGATGGGAACCTCGGGCTGGGCCATCACCAGCCACCAGAGGATGGCCTGCTCTCGAGTCTGACAGGCGAGGGCATCTGGATGTCATCTGATTACCTTTCTACCACATCTCCTCTCGCATTCGTGAGCAACCACTGCCACCTCCATGTCTGGCCCTGCTCCCCAAGCCTGGAGAACCATCCCCGACCCCCTAGGTCCCCATTGTTCCTGGGGTGGAGAGACCTTCACTCACTTTTCTGAACCCTCAAAGAACCTCCTGTTCCTGTCTTGCCACCTTGGCAGCCACAGAATGAACCTCCACTCAGGGCCCACCAAGGGCAGTCCAGATTCTCTCGAATGCCCCATCATGGAGGCAGCCGCCCCACTCTGGGCTATCTTCCCTCCAGGAACTGCAGCCTGACCCCAGCTGACCCCATCCTAGCCCAGTGGTCACTTCACCCAGAGGGCAAGTGGCTACAAGGCCAGCCTGACCCCTCCCTCATTGCTGACTGAGGCTTCTAGACGCTAGGTCCCACAGGTTGGCCCAGGACCACAGCCTGGCCCAGGACCACAGCCCTGATGGCTGGCCTCAGGGGGCAACACCCTACAATCCCTTGGGTATAGCACCAGGGAAAGATGACAGAGACCATGAAGGACTGGTCACAAGATTTTGGGGAGAGAAGAAGGCTTCTACTAAGTCACACACCTCCTGACCTCAGCCGACCTGCAATGTGCGTGCTAAGGCACCATGGGGGAAAAATGAGGGCGAGGCACTGAGTGATCTTAAATGAGCAAGTGACACAACATGTGGACACATTAAACATATGGTGTTTCCACTTTTCTGTTTTAACGTAAATATCAAGTATGACTCACCAGACAGAAGCCACACTGCTAGTGCTGACAGCAAGGCCCTGGGAGCAGCACATGGGGTAGTGTACATGATTCTCCCTAGACAAGGATCTGTATTTTTTCAAACTTTTTGCATGAATGTTACAAAAATGCTGGCCTCATGTCTTATGGAGTGGCAGCGGCAGCGGCAGTTATGTCTCTAGGGCACACCATGACCTGGTGCTGTCAAACCTGCAGGATCTCGGCACCCTGGACAGGGCTCACAGACTGGTGTGGACCTGGGGGAGCGGCTGGAGAGCACTCCACCAAGGTGCACAGGAGCCCAGTGGAAATGAATTCCCAACTTCAAATGTGTACGCAGGGTGCCGACACATGGGTATAGTGTCTATGTACCATGGTATCACTCACTCGCACCGTGCCAATCCAGAACGCATCACACAACACAGCAAAGGTGGACAACATGTAGATGAAATAAACATTTTAACATCTTAGTGTGAGGCCTTCCTACCATCATTAGCTAATATTCTCAGGTACAATATTTTCTTAGGGAAGGGTTCAGAATTAGTAACAAAAGACTTACATCCACTTCCCATGGTTTTCTGGGTATTTTTGGGGGGGCCAACCCCTTAGACCATGTCCCTCTGCTTTGTACCATGTCCCCGGGCAGGAGAAGGGCAGGGCTGGGCTGGACGTGCTCTTGTTAGCTTGTTTTATACACAGTACTGTCTTCACTCTGCAGCTCGCTTTTAGTATGGGAATTTTTTACGGATGCTGCTGTGGAAAGAGGAGTGCACGCACCCGAGCTGCCTCGGCGCTGACCGCACCCTGCTGCTTGGCTCCTCTCTGCTCTACCACCCTGGGAGCCCCTCCCCTGCAGACACCAGGATGCTGGCTCCTAAAACCACACAACCACAGTCCTACTGCTGCACCTAAGAAAATGAATCCTCCAAAGGGCCACACTCAAATTTTTTCAGTTGTTCTTTTGAAGTTTTTTATAAGCCTCCCAACCCAGGACGCCATCAAGGTTCATGTGCCACATTTGGTTTTATGTTTCTTTAATCTCTTTAAGCCCAGAAACATTCATGATGTTTAGCTGTGTTAAGAGCCAGTTATCCTGCAGCAGAAGAATTATTTTTAGTATTTGTTATGTGACCAGTATTTAAATCCGCTAACAGAGTTACCAAATCCATTTAACTGAGCACAGACAGTGGCACGTGGCCACTCCCTCGGAGCTCCCGGATGCTGTGGGGTCCCTTATACGCTGAGTGGCACAAACAGGGAACTCTACACCAGCTGTGGCTGCCACCACCAACACACATATTCAATCTTTTTCTAAATTTTAGGTTAGCTCTCCTGATGCTTCAATGGAGCCACTGAGCTGCACTTGGCCATTAAAACCCACCCAGGACCCTTGCCATCCTCACATCAAGCATGGGGCTCCAAGTCCCCAACTCTGAATGTGCTGTTATCCCACTCAGAATCATGTTCTCTCTTCAACCACCAGTGTCAAGAGGACAAGCTACTAGGAGAATTATCCTCTACAAGGTAAACTTTGACTCTAGGGTCTGGAAACCCAGAAGCTATTGATTAGTCACCAGTTCCCGTGGGCAATCTAAACAATGCACTCATATCCAAATGGAGGTGGAGCTCTCAGGAGGGCACTGGAGGACATAAGAACAGGGTGGCACCTGTCCTAAGCAGGAGTGGGACATCACGTGTGGCCCTAATCTGCTGCGCTCTGCACCCCCCACCTCTGCTCCTGGCCTGTCGCAAGAGCCAGGCATGGTCCTGCCTCTGTAGGGCCCTCTTCTCTTCAGGGAAGCTGGCCACCCAGGCCCTGACCCTTTTCAACCCTGTCCCTGGGCCCACCACTCCTCATTTGTCTTTCTCAGAGACACTTAAGTCATCAACAGCAGAACTGGGGTATGTTTATGAAAAGAACCCAAATCCTAGCTCAAGTCAGAGGCACAAAGCACAGCCCAACAGACAGGCCTGACAAGGGGCAGGGCAAGGGAGTGTGGCCCTGGCAGCAGCTGGAGAGGGCACTGCTGGGATAAACCCGGGAGGAGCTCGCCAGTGCCAGGGCAATGGGATAGGAGGGACAGGCCAAGCCTGAGACCAGAGAATATAAAGGAAACAGCAGCCATCATGTTACCTTTATATTGCCTTGGCATTTCCAAGCAGTTCAGCATAAAATCTTTGAAACCACACACACACACGCGTGCGCCCACACACATATTGCCTTGGTATTTCCAAGAAATCTCTGAAACACACACACACACACACACACACACACACACACACACACACACAC